GTGTGTGTGTGTGTGTGTGTGTGTGTGTGTGTGTGTTGGCAGGGGGCGGGGTGCTTCTGAATTATTTTTGTGCATCTCTTTTTTTCCCTCGTGTCTTTGTGGATGAGATCTGAGAGGCCGGATGTGGCTAGAGATGTTGGCTTTGTTCCCGCAGGTGAGACCCACAGAGCTCTAAGTCCAAACAGCCTGGAATTGGCCTGGGGAGGGGGACACCTCAGACCTAAGGTTCGTTATGTCAGTGAGGTTTAGGCTTGCTCCCCAGCTCCCTGCCCACCAGCTACCTCACTGAGGTATCAGAAAAATGAAAACATCCACAAGGCTTGTGAGCTAAAGGCCTGAAATGATACACTGGAGTCACAGCTCACACGGGGGTTGGAGTCTAAAGTTAGCATAAGCTAAGGTAAAACTTGCAGCGTCAAAATCGTCGTGTGAGTGCTTTAGGGAGGCACCTGCTGGGAGACGGATGTACTGTATGTCGCCCACTGATGAGGCTTCTTCGTCAGTACTGCAGGAGCTGTCTTGCGTTTGGGGGGCCATGGTGGTTGAACTGGCATCTGGTTTGGCACTGGGATCGAACTTTGAGTGGACAAGGAGAAAGCAGGGCAGGAATTGGGCTGAGGGAGTGGAGGGAAGATGCACATGGGGTCTCACCCTTACTCCAGCAGAGACAATAGTGGGCAGGATCACTCCCTAAGAGTCTCTGAGCATCCTGGTGGGTTTTGTGTAAATTACACATCCTTCTGCTTCCATTGTAGCTAATTTCTCCCCATGCACTGAGGCTTTTCCAGGCTGCTCTCTTCCTTCTGCAGGAGGCCCACTGCTTCCTGGAGTAGTATCAACCTCCCTAGGAGAGATACACAGACCCAAAGTAGAAGCCTTTTGCTGGGATCTCCTGCTTTCCATCAGGGAAGAGCACAAAGCTATTTCAGAAATTAGAGAACGGAAAAAAAAAAAAAAGACAAGATGAAAGGAGCAGCCGGAAGTTCCCCCAAGAAGGTCATTGAGGGTCACATCAAGCCAGGATCTAGAGGCCTTTCTTTACCAGTCCTGCCCCTCTGACTGGCAATGTCTTCCTGCTGCCTGCCAGAGAGGCCCCGCCCCCACCCTCTTTCCAAAGTCATCATTCACTGCTTTGAAATTGCCAGATTCTCTGGTCCAGCTTTGAGTTTGGTGAGACTTTTGCAACATCCCTGGTGGTTTCCCTGGCAATGTGACTTTACCCTGCTCTATCCCAAGCAAGAAGTACCTCCAGCCAGGGGAAAGTTGCAAGAAGGCTGCTTAAATGCCTCCAGGGGGAAAACCTCTGTCCCTCCCTCTTGCCCAATGTGCTTCTCTAATTACCTTTACGTTTCCTTTCTTTTGCATCCAAAATTAAACAGCTTCTTGGGATGCTGGTGACCTTGCTTAACCAAAGGCCCCAGCCCCACCCCCCCCGGCCCCCCCACACCTCCACATCCCTATTTCTCTGCCTATTTTGCCCACATTACCTTCTGCTTCCAGGGAATGAGACAAATCGGCTGAAATCTGCTGGTGGCGAGCATTCATTTTAAAAGCCAGAATTGGGGGGTGTGACTTGAGGCCCAGAAACATACAGCCCACCTGCAGCCTTTCTGGATGAATGAACCTGGACAGATCACTTCATTCCTCTGGGCCAAAGATTCCCCCTTTTTAGGCGAGTTTTTGAGATACAATCCAGAATGTTGACCTGAGGGCTGGGAAATTGTCTAAAGACAGAGTGAGTTCACCAGGACTGAGAAGCAAAAAGGAGAACACCCTCAAACATTTTCAGGAGGTTCTCGGTCATTAGAATAAAACGTATGTGAATTCCTTCAATTAAGAAAAGCTAACTCACTCAAAGCCCCCTCGAGGTCTGACCGCACGCATTCCTATCTCTGTCTCTTCCTTTCTTTGTGAAGGAAAGTCAGTCTTTCAGAAAAACAAAATTGAGATGTTTGAAAGACACAAGGGTCTCAGTCTCAGAGAGCCCCCATCATTTCATTAGCTCAGAACCGTCCTCTTTCCCAAAGGCTTTCCTTGAAGAGAGCCAACATTTGGGTACTCCTAAAGGTTCCAAAGCCCCCCCCCCTTTTTTTTTTAAGTCTCACTCCCATCATGTCTTCTGCTATATTCTTTTCCATGAATATTCACAATCGTCTCACAAGCATCTGTCTTGCCTTGCTTGGCTCTCCAGCTAAACCGAAAAGTTTGATTAAAAAACAAACCAGGATTCCTCAAAATGTTCCCTCCTCCATCAGCCAGCTGCACCCAGTTGAGGAACTTCTGCTTAGATACAGTGTCATCAAGCAATGCTTTCCTGAAACCTCTTCCTTGTCATCTCTGCACGCATGAGCCAGTGGTACTGAGACTTGGCATCTCCCCTCTGTCTGTGGCTATTGTTTTGTTTTTTATATTTATTGAGGGTTTTGGGTTTTGGGTTTTGCATTGTAAATACCATGATGGGGGCCCCCTCATCAGATCATGGCTTATTTAATAATTTATTCCCTATTTATTAAATGGTATTGAGAGAGGAGAGGGACCCCTCTTCCCCTAAATTGCTATTGGAAATCGGTCCATCAATCAGTCTGGGTGTGGCTGTCTGCAGCAGGGGCATTATTCCCCAGGTAATGAGTGCCAGAATCACCCAGCAAATTGGAATTGGCAGAAACGGAGTCTTCAGTCATACAAATTAAACTCAAATGGAACTAAAACACTGGTTATCTCCGGGAAAACCTCATTTTGATGGAAATTAATTGAGGAATAAAATGCCTGTGCACGAACCAACTTCTATTAAAA